GACGCGTCGATCGCGACGTCGACGTCATATTCTGCTTGTCTGCCGCAGCGGCTAAGAAAAAATCCTGAATGACGCGTAGTTGACATTTGTCATCGCTCACTTCTGGTACTGCAGGGGAGTTTCGTTTCCAGGTTACGTAAATGTGTGTGTGCCATGTATTTCGTGCTCTTGCTTAAGCCGGTCGTCTTTTCACCTCGCTCCTGCATTTTTTGCCTTTTTGCCAATTTAATTTCAATATTAATTACAACAAATCGTGTACATCTTAAACTCATCATAATTGGTCCTTTTTTGTGCCAATTATCTGTGTTTCGCTGTTTAACAATTGAGTTAATAAAAACTTTATATATCGAACGCGTATCAGACGTGCGCAAGCAATTTGTTAGTGCTTTTATCCATTCCGCTTTGGATCATTGCTCTCTGCGCTCACTGTGCGTGCACTCCATCCGTTATATCGCCTATCAAGACACGCTCTGGAGAGCATAAGTGCAAGCTCTCTTGCTCTCACTCTCACTGGACTTCGCCTGCATCTGCATCTTCTTGAATTGCTCTCTCGGTGTCTCTGTTTCGTGAGCTTCACCGTTTGTCTACACGATCTCATCTCAAAACGCATGGGTCTGACTTAGTCATGTTTGGCCTGCCGTGAGATTGAGGCGGAAATGCGCACTTTTATGAGACAGACTCGTACTGGTTTTCAGGATGTCCGGAAGCAATTTATCGCTCTCAACGACAGCGTTGAGCGTTCCGTTGTTACCGACGTTGCCATCGTTTCTGCCACGAGATCTCTTTTGGGAGTGGCTCCACCTTCTCTTTCTCGCTCGGGACTTCAACTAAGAGCAGTGGTACCTCGAAAGTCTATCTTTGTCTCCCGTCTTATACCGGAGGCTACAATAGAGGATGTCAAACAACATCTTTGCTCTAGACTTAACGCCTCGCTTAATGATATAATTGTGACCAAATTCGTTTTTAGACATAAGCGCAATATTTCCTCCTTTAAGATTCTTCTTCCCGATTTTTTACTATCCAGATCACTCGACCCGTCTATTTGGCCTGAGCATACAATTATGCATGAGTTCCTACATAAAGACTCTATCCAGAGTCCCAAAATTACTGGCCCTGGTTGTTCAAAAAACTAAATAACTTTTTTATTATTCATTACCAGAACGTACGCAGTCTGTTAGGCAAATTGTGTCAAATACATACGAATAGTTCCTCTTTTGACTTTGACGCTGTCGCTTTAACTGAAACCTGGCTTAACTCCTCCGTCTATGATCATGAAATTTTCGTTCCAAAGTTTATCACATATAGATTGGACCGTCCATCTTTTGCTGGTGGGGTTCTGATTGCTGTGAAAACTGATTTCTCATCCGAGTTGTTCCCATTCAACAATATCTATGGCATTGAATTCATTGCAGTCAAAGTTTGTGTTGGATCGGTATCGATCTATTTGACTTGCTCTTACATTCCTCCCAAATCAGATGCTGAGGTTTACTCTTATCACCTTTCTGCAATTCAGACTATTGTATCTACTTTAGGTTGCAACGATCATATTATTGTCATGGGTGATTTTAACTTACCACTTGTTTCTTGGCTGCCTAGTGATGAGTCTAACCTGTTGCTACCAAATTACCACAACGATTTTATTGACGTGCTTACCGATGTCTCCCTAGTTCAAATTAATTCCATACGAAATAGTAGGGATAGACTACTTGACCTTATGTTTGTTTGTGATGCTGCTCTTGCTACGGTCTCCAGAGTAAGTCCAGTATTACTTCCTGAAGACCCCTACCATCCAACTTTAGCCATATCCCTTGAGTGTGTCCGATCCAGTTGCGCTGCCAATCCCATGGCACCCAGCCGCATACAGTGTTTTCGGAAAACTAATTTTGCTGAGCTAAATCTTCACCTCTCGCACATTGACTGGTCTTTTCTCCACGTGTTCCCGAACATTGACGAAACAGTCAACTCGTTCTATGAAACTATTAACGACGCCCTTAATATATATGTTCCTGTCATCAAATCTTTGTCGTCAAAACCTCCTTGGTTCTCGAAGAATTTGTCCTCTTTAAAGAATAGAAAAACTAGGCTCTATAAAAAGTATCAGAATACTGGATCTATGATTGTCTTCGCCCAATATTCCTCCGCTCGTTCTCAATTCCTCACTGTTAATAGTCTTTGTTATAATCAATACCTTTCCCGATGCAGTAAAAATTTTCGTAGTGATCCAAAAAAATTCTATTCGTTCGTTAATTCTAAACGTAAGTCCAATGCATTTCCTCCATCCCTCCATTATCAAAACAAATCTGAATCTTCTGCTGCTGGTATTGCGAATTTATTTTCCACCTTCTTCCAATCAACGTACTCGTCACATATCTACCATGCATCTACTCCGTATCCCTACCATTTACCTTATGCCAACAGCATTTTTCTGCCTTTCTTTGAGGAAAGTGATGTTCTAGAAGGTTTGTCAACGATTGACATATCATTCTCGGCGGGTCCAGACAAGGTACTAAGTTGTATTTTAAAACACTGTGCCCAGTCCTTATGCAAACCGTTGACATATCTTTTCAACCTATCATTGGAACGGTCCTGTCTTCCAGTGATTTGGAACGAATCCTATATCATTCCGCTTCACAAAAAGGGTTCAAGATCTCACATTGAGAACTACCGAGGTATTGCTAAGCTTTCTGCCATTCCAAAGCTACTTGAGTTCCTTATTACCAGGCAATTGCAACACCTATGCAGGAGTCTGATATCTCCATCGCAACACGGATTTTTTAAACATCGGTCAACATTAACAAACCTTCTCGAGTTCTCTTCTGCAATTAACCGAGGATTTCAAAGCTCCCTGCAAACAGACGTAATTTTCACGGATTTTAGCAAGGCTTTCGACTCCGTGAACCATTCTCTTCTCATTCACAAGCTTTCTTTAATTGGTTTCCCCACTAATCTTCTAAACTGGATTTCGTCATATCTTTCTAACCGCACACAACGTGTTTTGTTTACTAATGTGTTGTCGAATGTCGTTAATGTTACATCAGGAGTGCCACAAGGTAGTCATTTAGGTCCACTTCTGTTTATTTTATTTGTGAATGAACTTCCTCAAGTTATAACATACTCCTCCACTCTAATGTACGCTGACGATGTTAAAATCTATCTCTCCTACTCTGATTGGTACCTGCACAAACGCCTTCAACTCGACCTAAACGAGTTGCAAATTTGGTGTTCAACAAATCTCCTCTTTCTGAACCTTTCTAAATGCAAACTTATGACTTTTTACCGTCGCACTCCACACTTTGTCTCGTACGCTCTAGGAATTCATGCCCTCGAACGAATTTCGAGTTCTAATGACCTTGGAGTTCTTTTCGATCATAGACTGTGTTTTAATAGCCATATAGCTGCAACTGTAAATAAAGCTAAGGGTGTTCTAGCGTTTATAAAGCGTTGGTCCAAGGAGTTTGATGACCCGTATGTCACCAAAACACTGTACGTCTCCTTGGTTCTTCCGATTCTGGAATATTGTTCTTGTTTGTGGAGTCCACAGTACAAGGAGCAACAGTCCATTCTCGAGTCGGTCCAAAAACAATTTTTAATTTTTGCCTTACGTAATTTTAACTGGGACTCGGATAGAATCTTGCCACCTTATCAATCGAGGCTACATCTTTTAGACCTCCCTTCTTTGCTCCATCGCAGAATTTGTAACGGCGTTATATTTGTACACAAGCTCCTAGTTGGGCTTGTTGATTCAGAAGCACTTCTTGGCCTGCTTGACTTTTCTGTTCCCCTTAGACCTGCCCGTACCTTTCGTCCGTTCCGTTTACCCTTCTGTAGGTCTAATTACACTCAACATGACCCTTTTCGAATCTTATGCTCTAATTATAATAATCTTTATCACTCCCTATCCCCTGAATTATCCCTTAAAATTATAGCCAGTAAGATATACCTGTTCTTACAATCCACTAATTTCTAATTATTTCCTATATTCACTTTTTTTTCCTTTAATTTTAATCATAATGTATGTTAGCAGATAGTTGCTAGTCTTCAAATAAATAAAAATAAAAATTCACATATACTGTGCTTGTGTTCTCTACAATTTTTTGCCGCTTGAACCGAAATTCGTTTTTCGTTTTGATGCGCACAGTGGGCCCAGCTTGATAAATTTTAAAGTGAAAAAGGGTTCAATACATTTTTGTACATATCATTATCAACTTTGAGTGCTCATACCTCCTAAGCTAAAATTATCTTGAAAATTAGATTCGCCAAAGCTCTGGAAAATTTTCTATTAGATGTGTACATTTATTTTATTCAAAGAATTCATAAAATATTTTTTAATTTTGCCACCTCTTTTCGGCTGAGTCCCCACACTAAATACAAATAATACAAACAAATAACAACTTTAAAAACCAAACTCGACCTATTCAGGGCCAGATCAACCCTCAACCGGGCCCTGGGCAACCATCAATCTGGGGGCCTTCCTTTTTCATTTGATATAAAAAATTATAAATTTAATGTTTGTTTGTTAAATTTTGTATTTTTCTCAGTGACTTTTATATTTTTTATTCATTATTTGGAGTTTTGTTTTTTCAACAAAATTTTTCAGCTGATGCGGCCCTGGACCTATTCCCGTCGTCAGAATTCATATTTTGTTGTCGCTCACATTTGCTTCTCGTGCAACATCTTTGTATTTTATAGTCTTTGATTCGACACAGCTGCAAAGGCGCTCTCTCTCGGCTCAACCCGGAGAGAGCCGAATGCCCTGCCGAAGGCCTGGGAGCCAATCGTCCAAAAATTGTATGCAGGCAGTTTTTAGTCGATTTGACGTCTCTATGTGTTGTTTGCTTAGTGGTACTAGGCTTTTAATGGAACATGCGACAATGATGCCCATTAGAGCCCTGTGGATAGAAGAAGACAATGATGCGGCGCATCTTAAATCATGCGGCGCATCATTGGCAAGTGTTGCCGTATTCAGTGTGCAGAGGGTATTAGACATCATAAAGACGGAATGCGACAAAAAAACCTTTATTTTGATTTTTAGCTGTAAAGCTCAACCTAACGGCCGTTAGAATAATTTATGTTCGTAAAGTGACATTTTTGATTTAGTTAATTTTTATAAGGATGCTTAATCAGAAAATTTAAATATTTTTTGATTTTTATAAGGGTGTGATCAGTGTGTACGAATAATTTTTGTGCTTACTGTATTTTAAAGTGTCTTATCTATGTTTGTATTAAAGTAATTTTGATTATTTATCCATGATTGCATTTAAGTTTCCCAAATATTGTTAATATTTTGATACATGGTTTATTTGACAAATTTTAACCATGGTAATGATACCTACATTTTAATTATGGTGTAAGGCATACAATTTTTGCTTAAAACCTATACAAATGTATAATTAATTGGATGCACATTGAAAAGCTTTTAGTTCTTTGATAAATTGAATCAGCGATTGGGAATGCACTCCACATTCAAGAAGGCTTACACATTCGGTCATTGTGTCAGGACATATGCCAATATTTAACAATGTAGACAATCCATCAACAATTGTACGTATTTTATTTGACTTAACCGCTTTTAAACTTGTAATTGTAGTATTTTCTGAAGCATTAATTGGTAAAACAGACATGTTTTAAAACGTGCTTTTCTGAAGTATGAAACTTGATTATCCAGAAATGTTATAAGGTACTCCAACTGCGTCTGAAATATTCTATCGTCTTATTACACATATTAAAATAAAAAATTTATTTTTTCACTTACTTCAATATGTTATATGTATTTGATCGATGCGCAATGTCATTTTGCTTGTTTCCATTCGTGAAAACTTACTCAAATATCTCAATAAGATCCAGTCGCAATTTTGTTCGCCTCTGTCGCAAGTTCCGATATTCTAGCTCACTCCTTCAAATGAACGAACAAAAAATTAACTATTACTGCAGTGAACAAACTGTATAAGTTCACGTTATACCCCCTGCACACAAAGCACATCTTGGGGAAACGGTGGGAATTTTTTAAAGATGTGAAACTCCGACTCTCACCAGCTGATGAGCATAATAATATCAAAGTTTGGGTATACATTGTGATATTTCACAAAAAAATATAATTGCCTCGGTCGCTGATTTGGATTCAAAACTATTAAACTTGACTTAAGTTAAAAGAAAGACTCTAAACAATTATCATAGATTTCGAACTACTATCAGGCTCAACAGTTGCAACAGAAAAATCATGCCGACTATTTGGACAGAAAATATAATGAAGACTATTTGGCCAGAAAATGAAGACCTAATTGAAGATAAAGTTGCCAATGAAGTCTAATAGCATTTTTACACTGGACTCATCATTGGATTTTTCCATTAAGCCTAGTACTCAGAAGCGCTAAATTCTCCGTCGACCGAAATAAGGGATGAAATTCGATATTAGAAACGATAAGAATTCTTCCCTGTGTACACGGCAATATTGGATAAATCCGATCCTGCGGGACAGAAATGCAATTGACATGTTTTTATCTACTTATAAATTAATAAAATAATAAAATTAATAAATAATAATGTCCATATAATTGGTTTTCATTCGACTACCTTAATTAAATTTTATTTTTTCCATTATTGCACTTTTGTAGCTGCCTTGCACTTTTTTCTTTACATTTTTAATGTGGGTGCGTGTTAGACTGGGCCAAAATTTGAACAACAAATTTGTTTTTTGTTTTTTCAAGGGATCACCCCCCAATTCAGTTCTTTTTTATTCAATAAAATTATACTATTTTTTCAAATATTTAGTTTAATGTTTAGGAGTTGCTGCCACGAAAAGAAAATACAAATTTTTGGGTAAATATACATTAAAACGAGAAGGAACGTGTGAGTCGCTTCTGGGGACGCGACTCTACCTTATACCCGTACTCAGTCAGTAAATATATTTTTGAGCTTATGATTTTTTAGAATTTAAAAATTAAAAAAAAAATGTTACATTCTACATCTAACATGTAGATTAAACATGTACCATTTACATTATACATCTCCTCCGATAGGGGTTGCTTGCGCACTGAACGCGGGAGAGTGTGCGAGCGAGAAAGAGAATCAGTAGCGTCAGCAGCGCTGGAGAAGGAGAGGGAACCAACAGAAAATTAATTTCTTCATTCTGGCTATAATTATGATCTGATCTAGTTCAGATTTGGCAATCTGGTAGATATGGGCATTCCCTGCGATACTGCGTTTTTAGTTTTATCGTATCTTTAAAATTGTGCCTGCCACAGATTTTCGTCCTTTGTGGGGGCGGAAGGCGGCGGGGCGAAATTTTGAAATACACTTGTAGCAGTGTGATGAGTCTGGAAACCAAATTTGGTTTCTCTAGCTTTTATAGTCTCTCAGATCCAGGCGCTCATCAAGACGGACAGACGGACAAACGGACGGACGGACAGACGAACATGTCTATATCGACTCGGCTATTGATGCTGATCAAGAATATATATACTTTATGGGGTCGGAAACGTTTCCTTCTCTGCGTTGCACACATCCACTTTTACCACAAATCTAATATACCCCTTAACTATTTTTTGAGTATGGGTATAAAAAATTTAATTCGTCGGTTTTTTCAAATAATATTGAATAATAATATTAATATATTTTTTTAGTTACTGTTAAAAAATTAACGATTGGTGAAAATCAAAAAGTTTATCTGAGGTTGATATATTTAGTTAACTAGTTCGCAAAAACTTGTTCGGGTTTTTTACTGCCAATAACTGATTAGTGACTATATGAATGGTATCAATATATATGCAATAGATTTCACCAACTATACCACTCATTCAGCAAAAAAAATTTTTATTAAATGGCCTTTGGCAGATAGATGTGCCAGTTCATACAACGAATGTGGCGCAGCTGAATATTCTGTTCCAGGTCCCCAGGTCTTCGGCTCGTGGACCTGAGACGTCCGCTGTGGTGCTGAGATGTTCGGGTCGTGGGCCTGAGACGTTCGGCATTTTTTCGACATGTTCGATTCATGACGAGATGCGAAAGCAAGCCGAGAATTGAAAGTGTATGTGTGTACACAGAATCGAAAAAATATTTATGAATTCTTATTTAGCAGAGGCAAAGGCTAGCCTAAAAGATAATGGAAGAAATACCACGCGCGCCTGTTGCAACATCAGCTTTTCAAAACAAAACGAAAAACCGAAATTCAGTTCAAGCGGCAAAAAAATTGTAGAGCCCACACACAAGCACAGTATGTGTGAACACATGGCACACACACATTTACGTAGCCTGGAAACGAAACTCAAAACGGTTTCGGAAAATAAGAATTCATAAATATTTTTTGTCGAGTCTGTGTACACACATACACTTTCAATTCTCGGCTTGCTTTCGCATCTCGTCATGAATCGAACATGTCGAAAAAATGCCGAACGTCTCAGGCCCACGACCCGAACGTCTCAGCACCACAGCCGAATGGTCCCAGCACCCCAGCCGAAGGCCTGTGGTATTGGCTATGTATGCATACCCTCCCTTTGAAAAATAACGTAATATATGTAGTTATTTTATAAAATGAAATGTAATTTATTCTTAATATCATATAAATGGAAAGGTGTAGTAGAATTTAGAGTATATTTTGATTGATATTTTGATATCATATTTGATATTTGATATTTTTCGAATAAATATATATGTATTTGTATTTGTATTTGTGACCTGTTTCGTTTTTCAACAATACCTGATATCCTATTTTTAACTTGAAATTTAAAACGTTTTTATCATAATTAGTTTTTTTTTTTTTCTATATTTGATTCTAACAGTAATCTTGCTCTTTTAAATGCTTGTTCTAGTCTAAATTTTGATTCCTTAGCATAGTCATCTATATTATAGAGAGGTTCTATCCTATCTATGCTATTAAAATGTGCTATTAAGTTTTAGGTCTTACCGAAAACTAACTAATATGGACAGTAATTGTGTGCCATAGAGGGTGTTGTGTTGAAACAATATACGAAGTATTGTAGCCATACATCCCAATCTGTTTTATTAGACGAGATTTATGAACGTATAAACTCATTAAATGTTCTGTGGCTTCGCTCCACGGTTCCTACAGTTTGGTGATGATGTGCGGTGGATGTTATGTTTTGAATATTAAAGTTTTTACATAAATCTTCAATTATTGAATTTTTATATTCTGTTCCCATGTCCGTTATGAAAGTCTTCATTGGACCGTTCTTTAGAATAAAATATTCAAATATAGCTTTTGCTACTGTTTTGGCACTTTTATTTTTTACTGGTATGGCAACAAGGTATTTCGTCAAGTCACAGATTAAAGTGACTGCGTATTCATTTCCTTGCTCTGATTTGGGTAGTGGACCGATCGTATCCACTATTACTCTATCAAAAGCCATTTCTGGGGTTTCTGTTAATGTCGATGGGGTCTTTGTATGTATCGTCGTTTTTGACTTATGACATTTGGACACTTTCTTACATAATTTGTTATCTGGTGTGTCATGTTTTTCCAATAATAATGTCTTTTTATTTTCGCTAGTGTTCTAGCTATACCCGTACCTCCCTGTATTGGATCATCATGAAATGTAAACAGTATTGCTTCTTTTTCGTTATTATTATTTAATAGGGTCACGGGCTTGAGTAGCGCTACTCTTAATGGTTTTATTATCTTATCGCTCATTATTTTAAAAGGTTCTATCGAAATTGTTTCGAAGATCTTTTCGCTCGTTGCCACTTTGAGTTGGCTGATTTTAAGTATACCGACTTGCAGTTCAAGCCTTTGGAAGAGCTGACCTAAATCGAGAATTCCATTGGTGTACATATCGCTAACATCAATTCTTGCTATAACTTTTTTTCCAGGTTTAAATAAACTTTTCGAGTCTGTTATTCGCAAGGTCACTACTTTTCGTACATTTACAACGACTTCATATACGTTGGGCTTAGAAGATTTATTTCTGTTTTGCCTAGGCAATCCTACTTGTTCTTTTCCTGCGCAGGAATTTGTCTGTTTACTTCGGTTTCTGGTAGTGACTTTCAGTATATTTGCCGAAATTGTCTTTGCCCTTTAGATACTCGACTGTAAAGTCGTATTCTTCTAATTCCTGCCAAATACGTGTCAATTTGGAACTGGGGTTGACCATTGAAAATATATATGTAAGTGGTCTGTGATCTGTCTTCAGAAATGAAATGTGAAATGTCTGCCATAAATGTATGGTCTGAAGTGTGTTATTACTCAAGGATTTGCTGCTAATTCCTGTTCAGTTGTACTCTTGTTACTTTCGCCCTTGGTAAATGATCTGGATGGGTATGCAATAGGAAGTGGGAGGTCTTTATGGTTTTGAGTTAAAACCGCTCCACACGCTTGCTTATATGCTGTTTACATTGGGGCTGCGTCATGATTCTTTGCGTCCTGCCGGAGACGCAGTTTATTTTTACATCGGTTAATCATAGGGCCCTAGTGGTGGCGAAAAGTTGCGTCGGTCTCTGATTCATGCGCGTCTATTCGATATATTCGATTGCTTTTGCGCTTAACATCACATTTTTGCACTATTCTGCCTATCAGCGCTCCTATCACCACTAATAACAACAAAAACTTGTAGATAAAAAAATCAAACTTTGGCGCTAAAAATTTATTGTTGTGCAAAAAGGTGAAAATATACATAAAATCATTAAATAAAATACTTGAAACTGATTGTATTATTATCATACGAAATTTTTGTGACCCCCTTATGACATTAAGATACTGCTGGAGACGAACTTCGTTGATTTTCATAATTTGAGGAAGAACTCCCACAAACTCTACAAAGAAATGTTTGAAAATAAGAAATAAATATGAGAATCAATTCTCTTTCGTCCATTCTCTTGTCGTCTTGCATAATTCTGTTGATTTCTCGAAATTTGTTTTTCTTTCTGTTTAGGACAGCAGCGCTGTTAATGCTATTCACATCGCTCCGGTAGGTTGCGCGCTCTCCCGTGCCCTTCGCTCTCGCGCTGCGTGAATGCGATCCACGGCTCTCCATCACGGGCGCTAGCCACCGGCCGAGCTGTGCCTAAACGAGAGAGAATCAGTATCGTTTCCACCCCCGCCAAACATACAAGCTCCGTGTATATCTGTCACGGTCCAACAATATACCATCGATACTTTAAAGCACCATCTGAAGACTATTTATTGGGAATAATACTCTTGGGAAACCGAAGCCGACCCGACCCGACCCGACCACATCCGCCCTCCTACAAAACATTGGTCCTTCGAGCCGGATCTTCACCTTCCCCATAAAGAGGAGTCCAACCTGCAAGCATCGGTGGATTACATCGCTAAGTTCCGAAGATAAGTACGATTTCGTCTTCCCAAATCGCTTCCTAGTGCGATTTTGGTTTATTCCCCACCAATTCCGAGTTCCGCGATATATGTATATATATTCTTATTCGTATATTCATATCTGTTCATACAGTGCTATCCAGTATGCGTTTTACATTCCTTTTCTCCCACGCCATATTATCGGCGAGTCCGGCCGTTACGGTAGTGCATCCATTCCGCTTTGTCTGGGCTTACGCTTGTGAATTTAAATATAAAAAAAAAGAAATTCACCCAAATCCAGCTGCCAAAAGAAAGACAACACAAAGTCCAGTTCAAAAGAACGGCTGATCTACATAAGTGCATATACACACGCACATACTCCAAGTGCAATCTACCCCCGTAATAAATACGCGTTCTCAGCACGAATAAATAAAAAATACTTAAATACATGTCATAGAGCAAATTGGGTTGGTGTCTTGTCATTTTATTTCCGCATCGGGTTCTGTAAATAACTAACACATTATCCCAAGTGGTCCTAACATTTAACATCTACTTAAAATTATAGTGCACATTAAAATAATATAATTATTGTATTAATACAAAATCCATATATACAAACATATACATACCACTCCATATCTACATACCACTCTACATCTACATACCACTCTCGACATCTACCCAACGCTGTCCACACATACTCTCATAAAAGAGCATATATTTAATATTAAATTCTGCGATTCCGAGCAATTTACGCGTTCCAGCCATACCTTTCGGGCGCCACAATAAAGAATAATATCTCCAAATCCGTGATAAATTATCCTCAACCCAGGCACAGCGCTTTTCCGCAGCTATTTCGCATTTTTTCTGTGAATATTTTTATATTTGTATTCTGTATTTGTGTGTTCGTGGGACGGAGAGAAAATTAAAAAACTATCGGTACCACCGACGAAGCAATCACGCAGTTAATTTCTTGACTCCAAATCTCGTGTTCTTGTCTCAGATCGGCTCTACTATCGCCAAGGCATAACATAGGAGCAAGAAATCGAGAAAAATTCCGTCTGCAATCTATCCGCACAAAGCAAGCAAAATAATTTGCCCACTGCACAAATCCGTCAAAAGGTAAAAGGAGGAACGCCGTACTAACAATATTTCTTTAAATATTGCCACAGCCAGTGTGACCGTTCCTCTCCTCAGTGTGCATCAATTTAATTCACTCATTGTTTTGGGAACCTCGATCAAGAGCGACCTCAAATCATTCGAGTTGGTATTAAAAATTGTTTTCCAGCAACGTGCGAGGCTCTTTTCTCTTCCATTCAGCAGTCGTGGGTTCTTTATTGTGTTTTTTAAGGATTTATTGCCTTCGTGTGTGGTGCCCAGCCAAGCCTAAGTTTGTTTCGTTCGCCAATCCGCGGATCCCGCATCCGACTTCGCTTTCAAATCCTGCGTGTGTGAGTGCATAGTATGCCAACGGGTGACAAGGACAGCAAAGGGTTTTTGGCTGTGACCTCTCCACGTCGGCTACGCACCTCTTCCGCCACAGGAACTACTCCAACTCAGAAGATCAAGTCGCCAGTCCCTCCCAGAGCAGCCAGTAGCAGCCCTGCTGCGAGGACCAAGTCGGTTCTCTTCCCGTCTCCCGTCACTCTCAAGGTGCCAGCTCGGATCCAAGACGATCCAACCAGCGCTTTCGTTTTCAGTCCCGTCAGCTCTCGACCCTCTATCACAATGGATCCATCCGCCACCACTACTGCACGGGCAAAACTAGCCGCCGCCATTGGCCGGTTCGCCGATGACAGATCCTCAGTATGTGGGCGGATGTCGAGGCGGAGTATAACGCGTGCTCCGCAGTGATGGTTGACGCGGATCCAGGGGTATAAGAAGACATCCGAGAGAAGTACAGCGAGTGTTATGGTCTTCACAGGAGATTACATCCGCTGGCCTACTTTCCGGGACTTATTTACGGCGATCTATATAAATAATTCTAGGCTGTCTCCGGTAGAGAAGTTATACCATCTCACCGCTAAGACAAGTGGCGATCCTAAGTCCATAGTCGAAAAGTCCCCACTCACCAACAATGGTTTCGAATCGGCATGGTCGGCCCTCCGAAACCGTTATGAAAATAATCGGCTCCTGGTGACCAACCAGATAAATATTTTGCTCTTTTTGCCTCGCGTCGAGTCCGAGACCAGTCGGGCATTGAAAGAGCTGCTAAACACGATGCAAGGGGTCCTCACCGCCCTTGTTCACTCCAAGGTCTGCACTGACAACTGGGATAGCCTCCTCGTTACGATCTGTGCCTCCAAGTTGCCGAAGTTGACCCGGTCCCTGTGGGAGGCGTCCGTCACAGACAAGAAGGAGGTGCCTCCATGGACGGAAATCGACGCCTTCCTCACTCAGCGCTATTTGATGCTAAAAGCCATGGAGAGCGACCTATCCACGTCCAAAGGCAATTCGAATCTATTACCTTCCAATCCGTTCCGGTCTCATGGCAGTTCCGTGCCAAGGAAGTTTCAAGCCTTCCAGACACCAGTAAGCCCGAAGAGTTCCCCGACCAGAATCACCCGATTCGACTATGTCCGCACTTCTTTTGAATGACGTGCCAGCTGCATTAAAAAGAGGCAGCTGTGCTTGAACTGTTTCGCCAGAGGTCATCAGCTCCGTGAATGCCAAAGCGCCCACAGTTGCTTCACCTGTGGATTCCGCCACCACACGCTTCTGCACCGTGGTACTCCAGCTCCCAGCGAATCGACATTCACCACAGCGGAGGATCCCGATTCCTCCGTCACTCCAATCCGATTTATCTCTCCAAATCCTGAAGTGGCGTTATTTCCGATACGTCTTCAACGCCGATATTACAAAGATGTATCGCCAGATTTGGGTACATCCTACGCACACGCCCAGCGAATATTATTTCGCAACCATGAGGGGGAGATTCGGGATTACGAACTGAAAACCGTAACCTCTGGGGTCAATTGCGCTCCGTTTTTAACCATCCGGGTACTACAACAGCTTGCCGACGACATCCAGTCTCGATATCCAAAGGCAAGTCACATTGTGCGGCAGTTCATGTACGTTGACGACGTCCTAGCCGGGACAGACACCATCAAGGAGGCTCAGCTGGCTATCCACGAATTGCAGGCCGCCCTCAGCTCTGCAGGTTTTCCACTGCGTAAATGGACGTCCAACCAAAAGGAGATTTTGGCCGGGATTCCGAGTGAGCACCTCCTTCACAACGATTTGCTGGAAATTGAGGTCGAGAGCACGGCAAAGACCCTCGGAATTTGTTGGAAGGCAACGTCCGATGAGTTCTTCTTTGTTCCTCCCGCATTCACGCTCGACTCATCCTACACCAAACGCGAAGTTCTGTCCCAGATTGCAAAGCTGCTTGACCCCGCGGGGTGGCTGGCCCCATTCATCGTCCGGTCCAAGATTTTCATGCAGGAGATCGGGTTGCAAGAGTTGGGATGGGACGAACATCTCCCAAATGCGTTGTATCAACGCTGGCTAGACTTTCTGCAAAGTCACGCTTTCCTCCCCCAGATCAAGATTCCAAGATGGATTGGCGCCCCGGTAAGCCACCGGTAAAGATTGAACATCACGGTTTCTGCGATGCATCTGAAAAGGCGTACGGTGCCGCGATCTACGTGCGCGTCGAGTGTGACCAGCATATTACGGTGCATCTGTTGTCGGCGAACCCTTATCCTGGAGACTCAGCGCCGGGACTTCCCGTGCCAAGTGCGAGCTCTATTCTCTATCCGTCTTTTCAACGTAAATTATCGGTTATATATATATTTATATTTTATATTTATTTATCTGCGTGCTAACACATAGTTCCGCAGCATAAAATCAATCAAAAATAGGAAAATAACACAAACGACAACTCAAACTACATTTAATTACAAATAATAACCAAAGCATAAGAAAAAAAAACAACAAAAAAACACTGTCAAATCACAGCACACACATGTAAGCACTGTAACAAGAAGTGGAAACACAAAACAAAAACGAGAAGGAACGTGTGAGTCGCTTCTGGGGACGCGACTCTACTTATACCCGTACTCAGTCAGTTATACATTTTTGAGCTTATGATTTTTTAGAATTTAAAAAAAAAAAAATTTTACATTTAAAATTTTTTTGCTACATCTGTTATCTACATCTACAATGTATATTTTACATCTAACATGTAGATTATAGATGTACCATTCATATTCTACATCTCCTCCGCTAGGGGTTGCTCGCGCACTGAACGCGGCAGAGTGTGCGAGCGAGAAGGAGAATGAGTTGCGTTGTCGTTTGCCGGAGGGGGAAGGGGAAGCAACTGAAAATGAATTTCTTCATTCTGGCTATAATTATGATCCGATCTGATTCAGATTCGGCAATCTGGTAGATATAGTCATTCTCTACGATACTGCGTTTTTAGTTTTATCGTATCTTTAAAATTGTGGCTGCCACAGATTTTCGTCCTTTATGGGGGCGGAAGGGGGCGGGGCGAAATTTTGAAATACACTTGTAGCAGTGTGATATCACATGAGTCAAGAAACCAAATTTGGTTGCCCTAGCTCTTATAGTCTCTGAGATCCAGGCGATCTTCAAGACGGACTGACGGACAGACGGACATGGCTATATCGACTCGGCTATTGATCCTGATCAAGAATATATATACTTTATGGGGTCGGAAACGTTTCCTTCTCTGCGTTGCACACATCCACTTTTACCACAAATCTAATATACCCCTTAACTCTTTTTTGAGTACGGGTATAACAATGTCTTCTTCTACTGCAACACCAACTAAACGCACTCGGAATAATGCTGGAACCGCGAGTGAGCGACTCTCCGACGCCCCTTCGTCACAGTTGCTGGAGCTGCTGAAGGTTCTCTTCCAGGAGCAGACGGACCAAATTGCGTCCCACGTCCGAGAAGCAGAGCAGCGCATCCTCAGCAGCCTTATGGAGAGCTTGGACTCGATCGCTGGTGAGGTGAAGCAGATGGGTGCCCGAGTTATAAACTTGGAGCAGGCGGTGGTAGATCTTCGATCTCAGAGAGACCAACTGGGTGAACGGGTCGAGCTGCTAGACCGGGAGGTTGCGGAATTGCGTGCACTGGGGGAGAGAGTGGGAGGCATAGAGGCGAGACAGACGGCCGAACGCATGTCAGCTAGCGCGAGTGAACTGCGATTGCACGGTGTTCCCTACGTTGACGGAGAAAATCTAAGAGCGATCTTCAACAAGCTCTGCTTTAATATCCAGTTGACCCCACCACCAAGAATCCGGGATGTTTTCAGGTCCCGCAAAACACAAAGTAGTAACGTAGATCCCGTTATAATAATAAAATTAGAAAGCGTCCGAGAGAAGATCAAGAGAGCAAGAGACAACTGAGCTTGCAGTTAGTAGGTTTTGACTCTGAAGCTGCAATTTATGTCAACGAGCAGATTTTAAGAGAACATTACATAATTTTCAAAGAGGCCATGAGAATGAAGAAGCACCGAATTCTCTCTGCAGTGTTCACGCGGCGCGGCCTTGTGCACGTGCGCTGTAATGAGAGAGAGGGCGTTCAATGCATTGAACGCATTTAGGAGCTTTTGCTTCTAGCACCAGCTAGCGTACACGCAGAGCCTCTCTATGTTTCATCCACTGCCTCTCCCACTGCAACTTTGGCTGGATCAAACGACGCAGTAGGC